ACAGAGAATCCAAGTATACTTGACAGAACACAACCTTTTTTCTTAGGTTTTTGTAACAAACTAAATTGAAAGAGTAGACTAGATTTAGTTTTTGCCACAATAAATTAAATTGAAAGAGTAGATTAGACTCGTTTTTCTGACTAGATTACTAATCTACCGCCTTCCCTCAAAGTACCACCCACAGTGATTGACTGACAGGCCAAACTGTTAAAAAGATAGTTCACCCAAATTACAAAATGACATTGTTTCCTTACCCTAAGTGTTGTAGCAGAGCCAATAAAATACATAATTTGAAAAACAATCATTGTGGCAATTCATATCTTGCAGTAAAACTGTAAATATGACTTTAAATCTCAAGAGAAGACAAGTTTAATGTTAAAAAAGGTTCACTTAAGAAATAGTTCTGATCATATAAGCCTAGATGATATCCAAAACCACTAACAAACTAAATTCATATATTTTCTGTCATTTCAATTATAAAGTCATGTCTTTCTACTCAATACCACAACTCCTTTTACCAATCTGGGAGGTACAGTGAGGGAAGAAAGTATTTGATCCCCTGCTGATTTTGTACGTTTGCCCACTGACAAAGAAATGATCAGTCTATCATTTTAATGGTAGGTTTATTTGAACAGTGAGAGACAGAATAACAACAAAAAAATCCAGAAAAACGCATGTCAAAAATGTTATAAATTGATTTGCATTTTAATGAGGGAAATTAGTATTTGACCCCCTCCCAATCAGAAAGATTTCTGTCTCCCAGGTGTCTTTTATACAGGTAACGAGCTGAGATTAGGAGCACACTCTTAAAGGGAGTGCTCCTAATCAGTTTGTTCACTGTATAAAAGACACCTGTCCACAGAAGCAATCAATCAATCAGATTCCAAACTCTCCACCATGGCCAAGACCAAAGAGCTCTCCAAGGATGTCAGGGACAAGATTGTAGACCTACACAAGGCTGGAATGGGCTACAAGACCATCGCCAAGCAGCTTGGTGAGACGGTGACAACAGTTGGTGCGATTATTCGCAAATGGAAGAAACACAAAAGACCTGTCAATCTCCCTCGGCCTGGGGCTCCATGCAAGATCTCACCTCGTGGAGTTGCAATGATCATGTGAACGGTGAGGAATCAGCCCAGAAATACACGGGAGGATCTTGTCAATGATCTCAAGGCAGCTGGGACCATAGTCACCAAGAAAACAATTGGTAACACACTACGCCGTGAAGGACTGAAATCCTGCAGCGCCCGCAAGGTCCCCCTGCTCAAGAAAGCACATATACAGGCCCGTCTGAAGTTTGCCAATGAACATCTGAATGATTCAGAGGAGAACTGGGTGACCAAAATCGAGCTCTTTGGCATCAACTCAACTCGCCGTGCTTGGAGGAGGAGGAATGCTGCCTATGACCCCAAGAACACCATCCCCACCGTCAAACATGGAGGTGGAAACATTATGCTTTGGGGGTGTTTTTCTGCTAAGGGGAAGGGACAACTTCACCGCATCAAAGGGACGATGGACGGAGCCATGTACCGTCAAATCTTGGGTGAGAACCTCCTTCCCTCAGCCAGGGCATTGAAAATGGGTCATGGATGGGTATTCCAGCATGACAATGACCCAAAACACACGGCCAAGGCAACAAAGGAGTGGCTCAAGAAGAGCACATTAAGGTCCTGGAGTGGCCTAGCCAATCCCATAGAAAATCTGTGGAGGGAGCTGAAGGTTAGAGTTGCCAAACGTCAGCCTCGAAACCTTAATGACTTGGAGAAGATCTGCAAAGAGGAGTGGGACAAAATCCCTGCTGAGATGTGTGCAAACCTGGTGGCCAACTAAAAGAAACGTCTGACCTCTGTGATTGCCAACAAGAGTTTTGCCACCAAGTACTAAGTCATGTTTTGCAGAGGGGTCAAATACTTATTTCCCTCATTAAAATACAAATCAATTTATAACATTTTTGACATGCGTTTTTCTGGATTTTTGTTGTTATTCTGTCTCTCACTGTTCAAATAAACCTACCATTAAAATTATAGACTGATCATGTCTTTGTCAGTGGGCAAACGTACAAAATCAGCAGGGGATCAAATACTTTTCCCCCCTCACTGTAAAGTCGTTAAAGCATTCAATAATTTAGCTGTGAATTTCGGATGGAATCAAGGCATTAGAATGTACCAGAGGTCACCAAAATAGTGCTTGTTCTGCTATTTTTCCCCCCCGGGGGCTACACTGTGTGCTGTAAGGGCATCATGCTGGGCCCTGTGCCTATCAGCATTTAGCCAGAAAGGCTCAGGCCTAGTCTCCTCTGTGAAGGCAGAGCCAGTCTCGCTCTCTCCCTCACACGGTTGGCCTACTTACTGCACCGCTAAAAGCCCCTCAGCTTCACCTACAATGAATTGCAAAAGTATTCATCCCCCTTGGCATTTTTCCTATTTTGTTGCATTACAATCTGTAATTTAAATGGATTTTTATTTGGATTTCATGTAATGGACATACACAAAATAGTCCAAATTGGTGAAGTGAAATGAAAGAAATAACTTGTTTCAAAGAATTCTACAAAATAAATAACGGAAAAGTAGTGAGTGCATGTTTATTCACCCCCTTTGCTATGAAGCCCCTAAATAAGATCTGGTGCAACCAATTACCTTCAGAAGTCACATAATTAGTTAAATAAAGTCCACCTGTGTGTCACATGATCTCAGTATATATATATATACACACCTTTTCTGAAAGGCCCCAGAGTCTGCAGCACCACTAAGCAAGGGGCATCACCAAGCAAGCAGCACCATGAAGACCAAGGAGCAATCCAAACAGGTCAGGGACAAAGTTGTGGAGAACTTGTGAAGTTGTGGAGAAGTCCCCCCCAAATTGTAAAGTGGTTATCCCACTGGCTATAGGGTGAACGCACCAATTTGTGAGTCGCTCTGGCTAAGAGCGTCTGCTAAATGACGTTAATGTGCCCTTGAGCAAGGCACTTAACCCTAATTGCTCCTGTAAGTCGCTCTGGTTAAGAGCGTCTGCTAAATGACTAAAATGTAAATGTAAATGTAAGTACTGATCAGGGTTGGCTTATAGAAAAAGATCCGAAACTTTGAACATCCCACGGAGCACCATTAAATCCATTATTAAAAAATTGAAAGAATATGGCACCACAACAAACCTGCCAAGAGAGGGCCACCCACCAAAACTCACGGACCGGGCAAGGAGGGCATTAATCAGAGAGGCAACAAAGAGACCAAAGATAGCCCTGAAGGAGCTGCAAAGCTCCACAGCGGAGATTGGAGTATCTGTTAATAGGACCACTTTAAGCCGTACACTCCACAGAGCTGGGCTTTACGGAAGAGTGGCCAGAAAAAAGCCATTGCTTAAAGAACAAAATAAGCAAACACGTTTGGTGTTCACCAAAAGGCATGTGGGAGACTCCCCAAACATATGGAAGAAGGTACTCTGGTCAGATGAGACTTTTTGGCCATCAAGGAAAACGCTATGTCTGGCGCAAACCCAACACCTCTCATCACCCCGAGAACACCATCCCCACAGTGAAGCATGGTGGTAGCAGCATCATGCTGTGGGGATGTTTTTCATCGGCAGGGACTGGGAAACTGGTCAGAATTGAAGGAATGATGGATGGCACTATATACAGGGAAAGTTCTTCCAGAGATTTGAGACTGGGACAGAGGTTCACCTTCCAGCAGGACAATGACCCTAAGCATACTGCTAAAGCAACACTTGAGTGGTTTAAGGGGAAACATTTAAATGTCTTGGAATGGCCTAGTCAAAGCCCAGACCTCAATTCAATTGAGAATCTGTGATATGACTTAAAGATTGCTGTACACGAGCGGAACCCATCCAACTTGAAGGAGCTGGAGCAGCCTTGAAGAATGGGCAAATATCCCAGTGGCTAGATGTGCCAAGCTTATAGAGACATACCCCAAGAGACTTGAAGCTGTAATTGCTGCAAAAGGTAGCTCTACAAAGTATTGACTTTTGGGGGGGGGGGGGGGGGGGGGGGGGGGGGGGGTGAATAGTTATGCACGCTCAAGTAATTTTTTTTGGTCTTATTTCTTGTTTGTTTCACACAAAAAAATATTTTGCATCTCTAAAGTGGTAGGCATGTTATACAAACCCCCAAAAAAATCCATTTTAATTCCAGGTTGTAAGGCAACAAAATAGGAAAAATGCCAAGGGGGGGTGAATATTTTCGCAAGCCACTGTACATCTCCCCATCTCACAAACAGCTCCAAAAACTAGAACCTCAAGGTCACTATTAAAACATGAAACTGGTGGTATCAAGCACACAACAGGGACAGGACAAGGGCACAGGTTGAATATGGGTCATTCAGAATATTACACATCACTCATAGCATGTCCATTTGAAGTGCATGTTTGAACTACAAGACACGTTTCAGAATCAGAATATTTAGGAAAGTCAGCTGGCTTGTTGACCCTCCCTGCTTTGCAAAACCTCCCCCATCTGTCCAATGTGTCCCAGTAAGGTAAAATAGTATTTGAATCATATGGTATCATGTAAACATTCTCACAGGGCCTCAGTTTATTTGGTTGGGGGGAGTGGGGGGTGAAAGGGCAGGTGGGAAGATGGAGACTAGAGCCGGGACGATACCAGTATCACGATACTCATTAGTATCGTGGCAAGGAAACAAAACACGAAGCGGGTTTAAATTCTTTAGGAAAACGGCCCTAATGTTGGAAACAAATATAATTATGTTGTCATCCAGTCACATTTATTTATTTTCCAAGCTATAGCACACCATATTTCACATAAAACAGGTTTTTAAAGGACCAAAGAGTTGCCATGGAAAATATATTACGACACTGGTATCGTCACAGCCCTAGTCGAGACAGAATTAAGGTTCAAAAGAGTAAGAGACACAAAACTAGTCCACCACCTGTTGTTTTGTTTTAATTTCTCACCTACAGTAGATCTCCACAGCAAACAGCCTGCCCAGTCCCAGTGAAATACAAGTATGTGTGAGAGGTTGTAGGTGAACTCACTGGATTCTGTTGATGGGGACTTTTTTCTCCTGGAGCTGGGACAGCATGCTCTCCTCCTCGGAGGGCAGCAGGACGAGCAGAGCCTCTCCTCCCTCCTTATACCTGTAAGGCGAAAAACAGCATTCTTTTTTTATTGTATGTCCTAAATGTACAAATAAGTCAATAGCTCAGAGGAGTGGATGTAATAATGTATGATGAACAAAAATATAAACGCAACATGCAACAATTTCAAAGATTTTACTGAGTTACAGTTCATAAGGAAATCAGTCAATTGATATAAATTCAGTAGGATTGGACATGTATTTCACATGACTGGGCAGGGGTGCAGCCATGGGTGGACCTGGGAGGGCATAGGTCCACCCACTGGGGAGCCAGGCCCAGCCAAACAGAATGAGTTTTTTCCCACAAAAGGACTTTATTACAGACAGAAATACTCTTCAAATTTGTGCACAACATTTGAGAGAAATACACTTTTTGTGCGTGTGGAACATTTCTGGGATCTTTTTCCCCAGCTCATGAAACATGGGACCAACATTTTACATGTTGTGTATATATTTTTGTTCAATGTAAAAGGATGATACTGCTCAACCACAAATGCATATATAACTTCTACAATATGCTATATTTGCACAGTTAATGGTGCACCTCTTATGATCATAAAGGACTTATTTTCATCATGAAAACCATGATGGAAAATAAGTCCTTTATGATTGTAAGAGGGGTATGGTTTTGCCATGATGAAAATAAGTCCTTTATGATTATAAGAGGGGTATGGTTTTGTGACCAAGTCAGAGACCCAGAGGGAGAGAGATGGGGTGCAAGAGAGGTGGCGGGGAGAGAGCTACATTCCTCTTCTCACCAAGAGATGCTGTGAAATGCATGCAGAGTCAGACTCTGTGGAGAGAAAGAGAAACAGACAGACAAACAAAGCTGTGGAGGCTGAGCTGATGCTACACTGGCAGCTGCAAGAGCTCTAGTTGCAAGAGCGCACGTCTCCCAAATTCTAATACCATCAGGCAGCTAGTTGGGTGTCTGGAGCCATCTTAAGTTGTCCGCATGCTTCCCAGCTGAAACATATTTTATGACGACATTTTGGTCTTCGGCAAGGGGTTTTTCGGCTATTCGGGCAGACCAAAAAATGTATAAAGGCAAGCTGAAGTCGGTCAATAGTGTGCAACTGCAGTCCGCAATTCGGGGCGGTCCTGCATGCGGGAGTTTCTGCATCCCGCCTGCTATGTACCGGAGAAAATCTAAAATACCGAAAAAAGGACACTGTCTACCGCACAGCAGGCGCGAGGCTGGGGCGACACCGTGTACTAGCTAGCTTGATAGTTAGCGACACCGTGTGCTTGGTAGTTAGCTAGCTGCAAGCACACGGTGTCTTCCCAGCCTCCTCTGTACCGGAGTCCTCCTTAGGACTAGCTGGCTAAGCTAGCACACAGTGTCCTTCGCTCCCGCCTGCCGAACACATGCTCTCGCCGTCGTTAACATAACTGCGGGCATTCCACCTTGTTGTTTATAATTATATTGGTCCATTTTTAAGTTAGGACAGTTACGTTACGACAAATTGACCAACAGAAGTATAAAGAGGGGTTCCTGCAGATGCAGGATTCCCACATGCAGGAACGCCCCGAATTGCGGGCCGCAATTGCACCTTTCTCTAGTCGGTAGCCGAAGTCTACGCCCCTTCATCGGTGATTGGTCAACAGTAAAGATTCTTCAATGAAGTGAAGTGTTTGTTGTCATTCAACGAGAGAAAACATTTTCATGCACATTTTTTCACTTGAGAAATACTTGAGAAATAACATATTAGTTAGATGTAAAATTGCACGACTAAGATATCCTCAGCAAAAATGTCCAAATTAATGACAGATTTCTTGAGTCATCTTAGATTAATTCTTAATATTTTGAGGAAGTGTACACTGGTTATGGCACCTCAAATTGGACAAACAGTACTATTGCCACTTTTTTCTAGTTTTTCAAGGGAAGGTCTTTAAAGGGAGTATGCGAGCATGTTCGGTTAGGTGCCAGCTGAACCATACTGACGCCTACTCCCACAGCAGCAGCATGCTGCAAAGACTCCAAACAAATGCATTTACATTTACATTACGTCATTTAGCAAATGCCTGATCGCAGTAAGCCTAGAAAGGATTCCCCTTCAGTCCTGTTCGTTCACAAAAAAGAACCGACAAGCAAGAGGTTTGTCAAGGGGTATGGCATCCCAGAAGTGTCAAATTGTGAGATTAGCAGCACAGAGGTTTTAGCAGCTCACTAAACAGACTGCTGACCTAACTGCAATACACACCATGGCAGCGCAGTGGCTCGAAGCACATCCTGACTGCTTAAGACATTGTTGCTGACGGAAAGTGTGTGTCTTTGACACAGCTGCACAGAGCGCCGTATAAGTAATGTCTGTCTTAGACACACACCATCTTACACCAATACTGTTGCAATTCCCGGGTGCTATCGGAGTGCGATTACACAAACACCCATGAGTCAGCATTGCAGCTGGGTTAACTGCTATGGTACCAACCCACCATTGTACTTGCAGAGAACAATACAATACCAGAACAGCATCATATGTCACCTACACTACAGTAGGTTCCACTGGATTTTGGAGCTTTGGAACACATTTGAAAGCCACTTGTGGTTATAATGTGCAAGCTGTAGGCTACAGGGAGAGGTAGTGTGAGAGGTGGACCATACAACACTGCCATCTAGTGAGTAAGTCAACTGTTGTGAGGAGGGATTGTGAGATGTGATGATAGGATAATGGATTGTCTATAAGAAGGAACTTTCAACTGTTGCACTCCATATAAGAATTGTAATGGCGGCTTGTTGTGGGTACATTTGTTCAAATGGTATTGTGTCCCTGTAAGATTCATTATTACACTGTGATAACTTCACTTTAATACTACTGTTGGAAAAACAGTATTTGTTGAGTACGTATTAGGGATTAATATTTTCCTGAAAATCTACCAAGTTTCAATACAGGAAAAATGTATTTATCCCGAGAGTCCCGGGAAATACCACAGAAATCGGAAGTGCCCATTTAAAGCATTTAAAACCAAGATATGGTCACTATGCCAGGGTTCTCTGCAAATAAGAGGGGCGCTGCGCAACTATGTAAAGACTTTAGAGCAAATTAAACTGATATTTAGTCATGATAGTTACTCTATCTTTGATCGGCAATTACGTTGTGAATTGCGAAACAGGCCGTTCATTAATTCTGAGCGTTATGTTCCTCAATTCAGCGCATTTCAGCAGGAGGCTATCTCAACACAGAGCGCGCTCAGGACGCAACCCGAGTATAGCATTGTCGAATCATACAAACTTTGTAACGGCTGTCAAACACAAAAGTCAAATGACCAAAGATGCTAAGCTTGCTAGATATTCTGTCATTAGTTGGAGGTTATCTCCTATATTTGGCAAAATCTAGTTTATGATTATACAGATGGCAGATAAGCTCATGGATAATGGGGTGATGAAGAGTGGAAATAGTTTAAATAAAGGTATCTTAACGGGGCCAACTGTTTAAAAAATATCCATATCTACTCTCATACAGTTTGTTGATCACACATTCTCTACCGAAGCTCTCATATGGGCAGCAGGTACGAGACCGCACAGAGAAGCAGGGAAATGTTACAGCGGTATTTTGACATGCATAGGCTAGAAACCTGCTTGGATTATGCAACCTATGGATTACAGAATAAAGTTAAGAATTGTAATGTGAGACAGGAGTCATTTTGGGTTTCAGTGGGATTGGGAATAGATAGGAAAATAGCCTAGGCTCTAGGAAAGGAGAATATATAATTTTCCCTCATGCCTCTGAATTGTTAACAGACAATGTCTGTGACAGAGATGCCCAAGTAGTGAATTGTGCATAGTTTCAAGTTTTAGTCGTATGTACGGGATACGCATGGTATACAGTGCATTCGGAAAGTATTCAGACCCCTTCCCTTTTTGTTACGTTACAGCCTTATTCTAAAAATGTTTATATTATTTAATTTCCTCAATCTACACACAATACCCCATAATGACAAAGCAAAAACAGATATTTAGAAATTCGCGTAAATGTATTAAAAACAAAAAACAGAAATACCTTATTTACATAAGTATTCAGACCCTTTGCTATGAGACTCGAAATTGAACTCAGGTGCATCCTGTTTCCATTTATCATTCTTGAGATGTTTTTACAACTTGATTGGAGTCTACCTGTGGTAAAGAGACAGGATTGTGTTGAGGCACAGATCTGAGACAGGGCACCAAAAAATGTCTGCAGCATTGAAGATCCCCAAGAACACAGTGGCCTCCATCATTCTTAAATGGAAAAAGTTTGGAACCACCAAGACTCTTCTAGAGCAGGCCGCCCGGCCAAACTGAGCAAACAGGAGAGAAGGGCCTTGGTCAGGGAGGTGACCAAGAACCCGATGGTCACTCTGACAGAGCTCCAGAGTTCCTCTGTGGAGATGAGAGAACCTTCCAGAAGGAAAACCATATCTGCAGCACTCCACCAAATCAGGCCTTTATGGTAGAGTGGCCAGACAGAAGCCACTCCTCAGTAAAAGGCACATGTAAGCCCGCTTGGAGTTTGCCTAAAGGTCTCTCAGACCATGAGAAACAAGATTCTCTGGTCTGATGAAACCAAGATTGAACTCTTTGGCCTGAATGCCAAGCGTCACATCTGGAGGAAACCTGGGACCATCCTTGCAGCGTCATACCCAAAATGACTCAAGGCTGTTATCGCTGGCAAAGGTGCTTCAACAAAGTACTGAGTAAAGGGTCTGAATACTTATGTAAATGTGATTTCAGTTTTTAATTTTTAATACATTTGCAAAAACTTCTAACACCTGTTTTTGGTTTGTCATTATGGGGTATTGTGTGTAGATTGACGAGGGAAAAAAACGATTTAATCAATTTTAGAATAAGGCTGTAACGTAACAAAATGTGGAAAAAGTAAAGGGGTCTGAATACTTTCCAAATGCACTGTACATCGTCCAACGAAATGCTTACTTGCAGGTTCCTTCTCGACAATGCAACAATAAGAAATAGTAAAAAATAAGAATACGAACATAAAGTCAATGGCAGTAGAACAGAAAAAAACTTTTAGCATAAGTACAATACAGGAAGGCACAATTTATAGTGCAATTTATAGGCCTATCAAATTTGTGACTGTTTGAAGAGTCACAATGACAGGTCAAAGAGGCACATCTTTTATAGGCTATACTGTAGGGTTTATTAACTGCATTTGTGCAGTACAGAAGTGTCAACTGTGCATGTGCTTTGAGTTTATGGCGACTTAGTATGAAGTAAATACTTTAGGCTAAAGGCTTCCATGCGACAACCTGTTTGGATAATGTGCCATAATGTTTTTTTTTGCTAATCTGATGCTGCACATGTGTATTTTGTGGAATTGCATTAGTGCCGACATGGGGGGAAAATGTTTTAATTTCCCGCGTCTTGTTATTAAAACATTTTGGGAAATGGAAAGCGTGTTCCTGGGACCCTGGTTACCCATGTTAATCCCTAGTATGTATACATTTTCATTAATTCTCCATATACAATGAAAACATGCCCTTCAAGCAGATGTGACAGACTGCACACAGTCAATGCCTTTCCTTTTACTCCAGGTCCGGCTAGAGTGTGGTCCTCTGTAGCTCAGCTGGTAGAGCACGGCGCTTGTAACGCCAAGGTAGTGGGTTCGATCCCCGGGACCACCCATACACAAAAATTTATGCACGCATGACTGTAAGTCGCTTTGGATAAAAGCGTCTGCTAAATGGCATATTATTTTTTATATTTGTTATTACCTGGCGGTTCGTCCCACTCTGTGGATGTATGTGTTGGCGTCCTCTGGACAGTCAAACTGCAACACCCAGTTCACAGCAGGGAAGTCTGCAAAGTAGGGGGGGACGTAACTATTATTCACCAGCAGCCGTGATGAAGAACCTGCTGCCTCTGGTATCAGAGCAGTAAATATTAGTCATTTTAGGGGCCGTGTTTGAGCTGTGCCCCAAACCGTCATCTCTGTCCCTACTGACTACAGAGATCCAGCCAGTCTGTAGCGTAGACTGCTGATGTGTTAGCATTACCTAGGCCTCTGGCTGCAATGTCTGTGGCGAAGAGCACAGCATTCTTCTTCTTGATGAAGTCGTTGTAGACCTCCACCCTCTTCATCTGCTGTTGCTTCCCATGCAGGGCCAGGATGGGCATGCCCGGACGCAGCCGACAGAAGACCCGGAACAGGTATTGCACCTACGGATGGAGAGAGAAAGAGAAACTTCATGTTTGCAGCTCAGACTACAACTAGACCATGAAGCTATAATAAGCCAAACAGAGGACAATTAGCACAAACTAGCAGAGCCTTACCTCTTTGCAGCAGGCAAAGAAGACTATTACTTTCTTCTGCAGGTGACTCCTGATGAAGGAGAAGAGCATGTTGACCTTCTGGTGCAGCTCACACACCACGTAGTTCTGCTCCAGTGTGGCCGGCGTGCTACATGGACACACAAACATTACGTTTTTAGATTGGCCTCTTTCAGGTCGTTTATGTTTGTACTTTGCAATAAAATGCAAATTAATTACTTAAAAATCATACAATGTGATTTTCTGGATGCACACACACACACACACACACACACACACACACACATATATATATATATATATATACACATACATACATACATACATACATACATACATACATACACACACACATACACATACAGTGGGGAGAACAAGTATTTGATACACTGCCGATTTTGCAGGTTTTCCTACTTACAAAGCATATAGAGGTCTGTAATTTTTATCATAGGTACACTTCAAATGTGAGAGACGGAATCTAAAACAAAAATCCAGAAAATCACATTATATGATTTTTAAGTAATTTATTTGCATTTCATTGCATGACATAAGTATTTGATACATCAGAAAAGCATAACTTAATATTTGGTACAGAAACCTTTGTTTGCAATTACAGAGATCATATGTTTCCTGTAGGTCTTGACCAGGTTTGCACACACTGCAGCAGGGATTTTGGCCCACTCCTCCATACGGACCTTCTCCAGATCCTTCAGGTTTCGGGGCTGTCGCTGGGCAATACGGACTTTCAGCTCCCTCCAAAGATTTTCTATTGGGTTCAGGTCTGGAGACTGGCTAGGCCACTCCAGGACCTTGAGATGCTTCTTACGGAGCCACTCCTTAGTTGCCCTGGCTGTGTGTTTCGGGTCGTTGTCATGCTGGAAGACCCAGCCACGACCCATCTTCAATGCTCTTACTGAGGGAAGGAGGTTGTTGGCCAAGATCTTGCGATACATGGCCCCATCCATCCTCCCCTCAATACAGTGCAGTCGTCCTGTCCCCTTTGCAGAAAAGCATCCCCAAAGAATGATGTTTCCACCTCCATGCTTCACGGTTGGGATGGTGTTCTTGGGGTTGTGTTCAGGACGACTGCACCGTATTGAGGGGAGGATGGATGGGGCAATGTATCGCGAGATCTTGGCCAACAACCTCCTTCCCTCAGTAAGAGCATTGAAGATGGGTTGTGGCTGGGTCTTCCAGCATGACAACGACCCGAAACACACAGCCAGGGCAACTAAGGAGTGGCTCTGATTTTAATAGCTAACATTTCGATGGCCATAAATAGATATGCCGATAGTGGACAACCTTGTTTTACCCTTCTTGACAGTTTAAAAAATTCGGAGAAATAGCCATTATTAACTATTTTACACCTAGGGTTACTATACCAGATTTTAACCCATTTTATAAGAGATTCTCCAAAATTGAAATGCTACAGGCATTTACAGTGGGGAAAAAAGTATTTAGTCAGCCACCAATTGTGCATGTTCTCCCACTTAAAAAGATGAGAAAGGCCTGTAATTTTCATCATAGGTACACGTCAACTATGACAGACAAATTGAGAGAATAAAATCCAGAAAATCACATTGTAGGATTTTTTATGAATTTTATTTGCAAATTATGGTGGAAAATAAGTATTTGGTCACTTACAAACAAGCAAGATTTCTGGCTCTAACAGACCTGTAACAACTTATTTAAGAGGCTCCTCTGTCCTCCACTCGTTACCTGTATTAATGGCACCTGTTTGAACTTGTTATCAGTATAAAAGACACCTGTCCACAACCTCAAACAGTCACACTCCAAACTCCACTATGGCCAAGACTAAAGAGCTGTCAAAGGACACCAGAAACAAAATTGTAGACCTGCACCAGGCTGGGAAGACTGAATCTGCAATAGGTAAGCAGCTTGGTTTGAAGAAATCAACTGTGGGAGCAATTATCAGGAAATGGAAGACATACAAGACCACTGATAATCTCCCTCGATCTGGGGCTCCACGCAAGATCTCACCCCGTGGGGTCAAAATGATCACAAGAACGGTGAGCAAAAATCCCAGAACCACACGGGGGGACCTAGTGAATGACCTGCAGAGAGCTGGGACCAAAGTAACAAAGCCTACCATCAGTAACACACTACGCCGCCAGGGACTCAAATCCTGCAGTGCCAGACGTGTCCCCCTGCTTAAGCCAGTACATGTCCAGGCCCGTCTGAAGTTTGCTAGAGTGCATTTGGATGATCCAGAAGAGGATTGGGAGAATGTCATATGGTCAGATGAAACCAAAATAGAACTTTTTGGTAAAAACTCAACTCGTCGTGTTTGGAGGACAAAGAATGCTGAGTTGCATCCAAAGAACACCATACCTACTGTGAAGCATGGGGGTGGAAACATCATGCTTTGGGGCTGTTTTTCTGCAAAGGGACCAGGACGACTGATCCGTGTAAAGGAAAGAATGAATGGGGCCATGTATCGTGAGATTTTGAGTGAAAACCTCCTTCCATCAGCAAGGGCATTGAAGATGAAATGTGGCTGGGTCTTTCAGCATGACAATGATCCCAAACACACCGCCCGGGCAACGAAGGAGTGGCTTCGTAAGAAGCATTTCAAGGTCCTGGAGTGGCCTAGCCAGTCTCCAGATCTCAACCCCATAGAAAATCTTTGGAGGGAGTTGAAAGTCTGTGTTGCCCAGTGACAGCCCCAAAACATCACTGCTCTAGAGGAGATCTGCATGGAGGAATGGGCCAAAATACCAGCAACAGTGTGTGAAAACCTTGTGAAGACTTACAGAAAACGTTTGACCTGTGTCATTGCCAACAAAGGGTATATAACAAAGTATTGAGAAACTTTTGTTATTGACCAAATACTTATTTTCCACCATAATTTGCAAATAAATTCATTAAAAATCCTACAATGTGATTTTCTGGATTTTTCTCTCTCATTTTGTCTGTCATAGTTGACGTGTACCTATGATGAAAATTACAGGCCTCTCATCTTTTTAAGTGGGAGAACTTGCACAATTGGTGGCTGACTAAATATATTTTTCCCCCACTGTATATATAAACTCCAGTCGTACTTTATCAAATGCCTTTTCGAAGTCTGCTATGAATAGCAGGCCTGGTTTTCCAGATTTGTCATAGTGTTCTATTGTTTCCAGTACTTGCCTTATATTATCTCCAATGTATCGTCCATGTAAAAAACCTGTCCGATTAGAATGAATAATGTCCGACAATACCTTTTTAATTCTATGCGCTATACATTTTGCTAGAATTTTTGCATCACAACACTGAAGTGTAAGGGGCCTCCAATTTTTTTTAATGGACTGGATCTTTATATTTCCCACTTGTATCCTGTTTCAGTAATAATGAAATCAGACCTTCTTCTTGAGTGTCTGATAATCTACCATTTACATAGGAGCGGTTAAAACATGCTAATAATGGTCCTCTGAGTATATCAAAAAAGGTTTGGTATACCTAGACTGGTATGCCATCCAACCCTGGAGTTTTCCCAGACTTAAAGTCTTTAATTGCATCCAGAAGTTCCTCCTCTGTAATTTCACCTTCACATGAGTCTTTCTGTATGGCTGTTAATTTTATATTATCATTAGAAAAAAATCCCTACAATTAGCTTCAGTTAGAGGAGATGGAGGCGACTGAAACGAAAACATATGCTTAAAGTACTTTGCTTCCTCCTTAATATCATTTGAAGAATCATGGGTGACTCCGTCATTTGTAACCAGTTTCAGTAAATTCTTTTTGGTAGCATTTCTATGTTGAAGATTAAAAAGAAAATTGGTGCATTTTTCCCCATATTCCATCCAGTTTGCTTTATTTTTATAATATATTATACTTGATCTTTCTTAAGTTTCTCAATTTCTTCTTGTTTTTCCTCTAATTTATTCTGAGCCTCTATGTTAGAGTTTTTATTGCTATCTATCTGTTCTGTTAGACCTATTTCCTTTCTTAGTATGGACTCTTTTGACCTAAATTGTTTTTGTTTTCGAGATGAGTACTGAATTGCATGGCCTCTAAAGGCACATTTAAGTGTCCCATACAATAAGGGGATTTGCAGTACCTATGTTATGTCGGAAAACATCAGTTATAAAGTCCTCTGTCCTAGTTAAAAACAAGTTATCATCCAATAGGCTTTGATTCAATTTCCAATATCCTCGCCCACGTGGATATTCAGTAAGATAAATGTATATGCCATTTATATGATGGTCCGACCGCATTCTGTCCCCTATCAACACTTAAAACTTTTGGTGCCAACGAAAAGGACATAAGAAAGAAGTCAAGATGACTAGCTTGATTGAGTCTCCGCCGTGTATATCTCACTAGGTCAGGATATTTAAGCCTCCATATATCTACTAGTTCTAATGTATCCATGACATTCACGATTTCCTTAAGAGCATGAGGGTGATTGTTTTTGTAGTGTGATTTCCTTTACTGTCCATTGAGCTATTTAAAACAGTATTATAATCTCCCACCATAAAAATAGAGTTTTGTATTGCTTGCAGGGTTGATAATTTATTATATATATTGTCAAAGAAGCGTGGATCATCATTATTTGGTCCGTAAAGATTAATGAGCCATATCTGTTTATGGTCCAATAACATATTTAAAATCATCCATCTACCTTGCGGATCTGTTTGGACAATTTGCACATTTGGATCGAAATTACTGTTTATTAATATCATCACCACTTTTGAGTTTCTTTGCCCATGGGAGAAGTATATTTCACCCCCCCAGTAGTTTTTCCAAAACAACTTCATCTAGAATTGTTGAATGAGTTTCCTGTAAACAATATATATTATATTCCTTCTCTTTGAGCCATGTAAATATTGTTATTCTTTTGTTATTATCTGCTAAGCCATTACAATTATAACTGGCTATACTTATTTCACCACTTACCATAATGAGATACACATTTCAAATCTATTTATCATAATAATGTTTGTAAATGTACCAATAAAAAACACCATGAGTGCTTGTTTGAACTTGCCTGTTGTGTTGCAATGAGCCAATAGAAAAGTCCCAAAAGTGCAAACCACACCCACGGCAACCTGGCACTCCAGGCAGGCTAAAGCAAAACACTAAAAGTATTTTACAAATATTTCAAATAGTAGGCTATTTGAAGCCATGCCAGCTTTGCAGGTAACAGGTATCAGGTAAAATTTAATTTAAAACACTGATGTGCACTGCCTGAGGAGCCCTGATAAGGCTGACAGAGTCCTCTTTCATCTCTTCCTCTGCTGCAGTAGCCTGTGCTTCCTTACTCCCATATAATAAATTAGCTTTAACATCGAGGACAAAGCCATTACAGCAGCATAAACACTAAACCAGCTTATCAGCAAAGGCTCATCGGAAAAGCTACAGAAGACAACTCATCGAAAAAGAAGTGGCACAAAAAGAAAGAGCATAAAACAAGCGCAGTATGATCAGTTTAAGACTGGATTGAAGTTTCTGACATTCAGATAAAACATTCTATGTTAATGGTGGACCCTATGTTAGTGGGAGAGAAACCACACTATCATTCAGCACCTGGCTGCACAGTGACACGCCATTCTTTCGAAGGGCTAGGGACTTCACAGAGCATCCATGACAACGCTCGTATTTGTTGAATGTACCGGCCCACTTTTGTCTTTCTGGTATTCATACCATATACTGGATGTCAGTTTGTCCCGATATAAGCAATCAATGTAAGCACCCTGCAATCGCTGAGCAATAACATTCACATGATGACCTACGAGTAGCCCCGGAGACTCATTGAAATCCCGACTGAATTCAACACATCACCTTTCACAAGTATTTTCAATTGAGACCGTTTTTCATTTCCTGAGTTTATAGAACTCCATGTGACATTAACCCCAACCGCCAGATTTCTAAAAGCCAAGACTAAGAGTTTTGACACAGGACTATAGTGGCATTGTTAAGTGTGTTATATAATAGAGCTCCTACCTGAACTTGGCCTTCTCGTGCACCCAGACGTACTCTGGGTCTTTGAGGCTGAGGCGGGCCAGGTCTTTCACTGACTTGGTCTGTGTGGCTGAGAACAGCAGTGTCTGACGGGTCTTGGGGAGGTTCTCCACTATGGCGTTGATAGTGTCGGAAAAACCCATGTCCAAGATACGATCCGCCTCATCCAAAACTGAAAGTTAAAAATAAATAAACAAATATAATGATTTCTGCCATTACAATCATGTCACAAGACCATAGATTTTGCAAACAAGTATATTATTCTCCAATGATCTGACTACAGATCAAAACAAACAGTGCTACTCAAGCAATGTTGCTTAATATTAACAGTAAGAATGTAAAAAGTCCATAAACAACATACTGCTCACACCACAGTAAAACTATTTTTATGGTGGCCTAGAAGCTCAGGTTTAACTATGTACCTAGCATGTGCAGATCGGAGGCGTGAAAGGCAGCAGTCTCGTCCATGTGCTGGAGCAGGCGTCCTGGCGTGCAGATGATGATGTTAGTGCGGTGGATCTTCTCAGACTCATTTTTCAGGTCCTGCAAAAAAACATGCCACAGAGATAAAACTCTGGCAACTACAGCTGTACTTTACATACAGAATTTGACATTCTATGTCAGTCTGTCCCTTAAATGCCCACACCAGTAGAAATCCACTTTCGAGGTGAAAAAATGGCCAGAGCTTACCCGAAGTTGCATATTTATTTAAGTTGTTTTAGTCAAAGTATGATATACAGTGCCTTCAGAAAGGATTCACACCCCTTTGACTTTTTCCACATTTTGTTGTGTTACAGACCAAATTTAAAATGGATTAAATTGAGATTTTGTGTCACTGGCCTACACACACACACACACACACACAATACCCCATAATGTCAATGTGGATTTATGTTTTTAGAAATGTTTAAAAATTTAAAAAATTCTATGTCTTGAGAAAATAAGTAAGTATTCAACCCCTTTGTTATGGCAAGCCTTAATAAGTTAATAAATAATACAAATGTGCTTAACAAGTCACATAATAAGTTGCATGGACTCACTGTGTGCAATAGTGTTTAATATGATTTTTGATCGACTACCTGCTCTCTGTACCCCACACAAGTATCTGTAAGGTCCCTCAGTCGAGCAGTGCATTTCAAACACAGATTCAACAACAAAGACCAGAGAGGTTTTCCAATTCCTTGCAAAGAAGGGCACCTATTGGTAGATGGTATACTTAAAAAAAAAAGAAGAAACTGGATATCCCTTTGAGCATAGTGAAGTTATTAATTACACACCTAGTCACTACAAAGATACAGGTGTCCTTCCTAACTCAGTTGCCGGAGAGGAAGGAAACCGCTCAGGGATTTCACCATGAGGCCAATGGTGATATTAAAACAGTTACTGAGTTTAATGGCTGTGATAGGAGAAAACTGAGGATGGATCAACAACATTGTAGTTCCTCCACAATACTAACCTAAATGACAGTGTGAAAAGAAGGAAGCTTGTACATAATACAATTATTCCAGAAACACGCATCCTGTTTGCAATAAGGCACTAAAGTAAAACTGCAAAAAATGTGGCAAAGAAAGGAACTTTATGTCCTTAATACAAAGCTTTACGTTTGCATTGGCCGTGCAGCATTTATGGTGATAAGACCTCTGCAGAAGTCAGGGCATTTAAACTCCTTGCGTAGCGCAAAGCTGTTGTGAAGGAAGTTGTCAAGGAAGTGAGTTTGTGTTTATACAGGACCTCCCGCCCCACCTACTGTCAACCAATCATGTCAATGCGGAGCTATACGTAGCCATCCGTATTGTTACAAAATTTGGGAGGCGCACGGTGATACGGTACGGAGCTCAATTTGGCCTCTGCGTGCCTCCGGAGTTGCGTCACACCCTTTATACTGAGCCGCCGACCACGTTTTCAGATCAAGCATAAATTGGCTTTTATAGTTACATGTCGGTGTGCATGATCATGAGCAAAGTCATTGCAGGGCTCTACAGTGTGCCCATTTTACTCGCATATGCACCAAAATATTTTGCTGTGCGACCTGCAATTTTTATTTAGGCACACCAGTGGTTGCGAGTAGATGGGCTTGTTTTGAGATCAAAGCAAGAGCTGCATGTAGCCACGTGTGCACATTCGTTCATATTCTTTGCTACTGAGTTATTAGACCAGTTATAGCTCATTTCTAGTCAGCAATGGGGGAGTGATTGCTTCCTACAAGAGCACAAAATGTGTGCATTTCTAGCCATTTTGAAAAGTGAGTCAGGTAAAGAGCTTTTGTTTTATGTCTTAAATGGGCAGTGTTGTATTTTTAGACAGGCTAGAATAAGCTAAGTAGCCAATAGGCAGAGGGTAGCATAATTTGTCAGATTCTCTGTAATATGGTATGGGAATAATCCAACTTAATTTTGTAAAGTGGTTTCTTGAATCAAACAACACATTTTCAGTCACCTCCTTGTCTGAAGGACAAGTAGATAAACAGGTTAATGTCAAGCCTGGAATATTTTTTCCCAAAAGTCTCATGGAATGTAGCCCTACATTGAACACCACATATTGGCTGCTACAGTAGGCTGAATGATAGAACAACTATTACCATGTTCAAATGTTACAGATGCATTTTCTCCATTGTTTCTGATGGTAGACCAGTCTAATAGGCCTACATTATGATCAAAATAGCCACAGTAGCCTACTTGGCCACTGTTATAATGGTAACTTAAAGCGGGTAAAGCCTCAGTGTTCACAATAAACACACACCAGAAGCTGCACAGAATTTTCACAACGTTCAAGTTTGCACCGAAAAAAGTGAGGGAACATTGCTTTCAATAGTTAACCATATTACTGGAGCGTCATCTTATTCTTTCTAACTATTTCTATGGCGGATTCTCGGCTGCATTTTATGGAAGATGCCAAATCTTTGGAGATAACAATAGATGGTGAAGTCAAAGATAGGTTAACGGTTTCCATCTGTCGTGAAGTTTTTCCTAAATCAATACTTATGACAAATCCAGCACCAGAACCAGCTGGCTAATGTTTTGACTACAGTGAAAAAAAAAAAAATGCAACAGATAACATTAGCTAGCTAGACACCAAGCTCAGAGCCCTGGGTCTGGACACCACCCTGCAACTGGATCCTGGACTTCCTGACGGGCAGACCACAGGCTGTGAGGATTGGCAACAACATCTCCACACTGACGCTAAACACAGGGCCCCCCCTGGGGTGTGTCTTCAGTCCTGTGTTGTACTCCCTGTTCACCCACAACTGTGTGGCTTTGCACAACACCAACTCCATCATCAAGTTCTCACGACACCACGGTTGCAGGCCTGATAACCGACAATGATGAGTCAGCCGATAGGGAGGAGGTAAGTGAACTGACATTGTGGTGTCATGACAACAACCTCTCCCACAACATCTGCAAAACAAAGGAGTTGATTGTTGACTTCAGGAAGCAGAGGAGGGAACATTCCGCAATCCACATCAACAGGACTGTAGTAGAAAGAATCACAAGTTTTAAGTTCCTCTGCGTCCACATCACGAGGATTTGTCATAGACCAACACCACCACAACCTCTTGTCAAGAGGGTGCAACAGCATCGCTACTTCCTAAGGCAGCTGAAGAAATTTGGCATCCCGCCCGGTGTCCTCTCCAAATACTACCGCTGCACCATTGAGAGCCTCCTGACTGGTTGCATTATGGCCTGGTACGGGAATTGCTCCGTCCACGACCGCAAGGCCCTCCAGCGGGTGGTGAAGACAGCCCAGTACATCACTGGGACCGTGCCCCGACCCATCGAGGTAATCTACTCGAAATGGTGCCTGATGAAGGCACGCAGCATCAAAGGACCCCACACACCCCAGCCACGAGCCGTTATCGGAGCATGAGGTCTGATACCAACAGGCTCAGAGACCGTTTCTATCTACAACCCATCAGACTGCTCAACACTTGAACTGGACTGACCACCTGCTCGGATTCTCCGCACCTTAGCACACATGCACTCACGCATGCACACACATATACTAAACAAAAATAAACGCAACATGCAACAATTTAAACAATTTTACTGAGTTACAGTTCATAAGGAAATCAGTCAATTTAAATAAATAAATTAGGCCCTAATCTATGGATTTCACATGACTGGGCGGGGGTGTGGCTCACTGGGGAGCCAGGCCCTGCCAATCAGAATGAGTTTTTCCCCACAAAAGGGCTTTATTACACACAGAAATACTCCTCAGTTTCATCAGCTGTCCGGGCTGCTGGTCTCAGACGATCCCACAGGTGAAGAAGCCAGATGTGGAGGTCCTAAGCTGACGTGGTTACACTTGCTCTGCGGTTGTGAGGCCAGTTGGATGTACTGCCAAATTCTCTAAAACTACATTGGAGGAGGCTTATGCTAGAGAAATGAACATTCAATTATCTGGTAACAGCTCTGGTGGACATTCCTGCAGTCAGCATGCCAATTGCACACTCCCCAAAAATGTAGACATCTGTGTCATTGTGTTGTGTGACAAAACTGCACATTTTAGAGTGGCCTTTTATTTTTCCCAGCACAAGATGCACCTGTGTAATGATCATCCTGTTTAAGCAGCTTCTTGATATGCCACACCTGTCAGGTGGATGGATTATTTTGGCAAATAATTCATGTTCACTAACATAGATGTAAACAAATTCTGGCACAAAATTTGAGAGAAATAAGCTTTTTGTGCGTATGGAAAAATTCTGGAATCTTTTATTTCAGCTCATGAAACATAGGACCAACACTTTAAATGTTGTGTTTATATTTTTGTTCAGAATATACACATTTATGCTACACACACACCACAACTGCTGCTACCAGACTCTTATTATACTGCTCAATTTATACACTTGCCCCCCATACACGTGGAAATATTGGACTATAAATTGTGCCTTCCTGTATCATACTTATGCTAAAATATTTATTCTATTATACTGCCATTTACTTTATGTTCGTATTATCTTTCATTATTTCTTATTGTTGTTGCATTGTCGAGAAGGAACCTGCAAATAAGCATTTCGTTGGACGAAGTATACCATGCATATCCCAGACATACGACTAATAAAACTTTAAACTAGATATGGTTAGCAAGATACTGTAGCTAGCTAGCTAGGCTGACGGTGGTCAGTGCCCTATTTGTTGATTTTTATCAACTCCACTTGGAAATTCCCACTCCCAATTCGTGCATTTCCTCTCTCATTTCCTCTCTAGGAAAGGAAATTACGTCGAAATAGTGGCGGCAACCTCCTCTGGGGGTGGGGGTGGGTCCATTAACTTAGCCTAAATTAATCAATGGTTGGTTGCGGAATCCAACAGAATAACAGGGCACAAAACGTTTCCTTTCAAACACCACCAACAGAGGTGTCAAAACCAACATGAAATGATCTACCAATAAAGGCACTTGAAAGTAAATAAGTACCTTTCCGCCAATGATGAGGCCGGCAGAGAACTCATGGTTCTTGCCCACTTTACGGAGCACCTCGAAGGTCTGATAGGCCAGCTCTCGTGTGGGGGAGATGATGAGGGCCCCGAGGCCATCCATTGCTGTCCACTGCTGACGATACAAACATTCCAATACCTGGAAATGAAACCAAACACGTGTGAAAGGCAATGACATGCCATCAATAGACTCAAATAATGGATGCACATTGCATTTGCCTCATATCAGCTTGCAATATTGCAGATATAGAATACAATTGGGTACTCACAGGAATGAGAAAGGCCAGTGTTTTCCCAGAGCCAGTCTTTGCAGCGCCCAGAACATCTTTACCTTGCAATGCAAAGCCAATGGTCTGTCTCTGTATTTCTGTGGGCTGACGATACTGTGCTTCCATCAGACCTGGGGTAAACAACAAAACTCAATCCTAAACAAGATACGGTATAAGATGTTTGCCAATGGCATGTTGGTCCATATTGCATGTACTGGCAAACACAGTCAACGCCATTTCATAACCAATTTATGTTTACCTCGCAGGGTATTCTTGGAGATGGGGAAATCTGAAAACCTCTCAGCATCCTTGGCATTTATCTAGAAGAAAGAATTGTTCAAGTGTATCTACACTGCCCCAGAAGTAATGATATGATACAAATCATTGTCAACAGCAATAATTTAGCTAACATTACAATATAAACGTCAACTAGCTATCGTTATGTAACCTAGGACTTCCTAAAATGTCTTATGGGACAGGAGATTGCTTTGATAAGACTGAAGATGTGATAGCTAGCTAGATAGCTAGCTCATTTACAGTCCTAGGACATGTTCAGTTGCCAGCCGTTCTCCAACGTTGCAGATAGACATGCCATGAAGGCATGTTTGATCTACATTGCCTATTTCTATCTCAATTCTGCTGAACGCGGCCCTAGCTATCTACGTTAACTAGTCTCGCCCAACCTCGTAGGATAAAAACAAAAACGTTGTTTACCTCGTTATATTTGTTGACAAGACGTTGAATAACTTCTTTCTCCACCTGCCATTCAGGTTTCCTTTTCTGTCTTTTCTCCTGTTTGACTCGTGTTTTTGTCTTATTGTATTTCTTCTTCCATCGCTCGAAGTTCTTCACAGGATCAGCGGTGTCGGTTGGGTTTTTCTTCCCCATCTTTTTCTTGGGGGACAGGTTTGGTCGTCTGCCCTTCTCCATGGTTAAATTTATTTTAGAGGAGAATTCAATGTTTAAAAAATAAATGTTGGTAATTCACCCCAATCGCATAGAAACACCGAAGCGGACACGCATGTAGACGCATAAATATGACGTTAATGAAACCGGAAATACCAACAGGCAGGAGATGGGAGATGTAGTTCAACTGGGATATATTCATTAGTCGGATTCCTTCGCAAAACGTTTACTCCAAACGGAAAACGTGTTGCATCTCTTCATCCATGTATGGACACAGAACTTAATGGAGCAATTATGCAAGACTTTAGTTCTGGGTTAACCGAGATTAAGTTGTCTTGAACGCACCATATAGATCATGGTTGAAGAGAGGTGTATACATGTCCCATCTGAACTTTTCAGTTCAGTAAGGCTGCATTTCCACAGGCAGCCCAATTCTCAGATCAGCTTGTGAAGGACATTTTACTTTGTGCATCTTGTCTTTGGTGTCATAAACAATCATAGGTTCCTGTCTGTGCCTGGTAAAGATTTGAGGGGGGGCCTTCATGACATCCTCCTTTAGACTATTTGGCAGAACGCCCAGAATACGTTCTTTAAGTTAAGATAGGAGAAGTGCCAGACACATGCCGGAAGCAACCCTATGAACTATGCCTATGTAACGTGTCTGTAACCAGTTTATAAGGGAACTAAACGGGACTGCCCCATTAGAGCTCCTGACAGACGTTCACTATGGTGCATCAAGTTTGTTGGAACCTCTCCAGCGCGCTGTCAATAAACAATGATTAATTTACAATTGACTTCTAGTGTCCTTGTGTAAGAAATTGCCAATAATTAGGCAAAATATCAGAATTGGGCTGCCTGTGTAAACACAGCCATAGTGCTCAATCAGAAAGCAGTTTCAGATACAAATAATTGTATTAAAGCTGCAATATGTAACTTTTTGGGTGACTTGACCAAGTAATAGATCAGTTATTCTCATTAAAAGCAAGTCTAAGAAGCTGTTGGTAGATCTGTTCTGAGCGCTATTTCTATGCTTCCCATTTTTAAGTTTCATTTTTGCTCCTTTTACTTTCAGTTTTGTACACCAGCATCAAACAGCTGAAAATACAATATCTTTGGTTATTGAAAATAGCGGTTTAGATGGTACAATGATTCTCTACACTTGCTATTTTTTGTCTCAAACTGAAATTAGGCTATTAGAATTTTATCAACCAGGAATGGCAGAATGATTTCTGCATATTGCACCTTTAAATATTGTTGAACAGAACAGAGAAAGAACATGGTTTCATTCATCAACAGCCTTTTGCACATCCTAGTACAGCAGGGTTTCCCAAACTCGGTCCTGGGGTCCCCCCTGGGTGCACGCTTTGGTTTTTGTCCTAGCACTACACAGCTGATTCAAATACTCAAAGCTTGATGATGAGTTGGTTATTTGAATCAGCTGTGTAGTGCTGGGGCAAAAATCAAAATGTGCACCCAGGGGGGGCCCCAGGACTGAGTTTGGAAAACCCTGTAGTACAGTACGTATTATTAGTGTGGTAGAGGTTGTCCACATGCATAACTTATTGAATGAATGTCTTTGCTGAAAGTTGGTGTGTTATTGGGTTTTTAAAAAATAAGCTGGACATAACATTGTATTTGAAGTGCTGTTTTATCATATACAATGGCATATATTGCATTTAAATTCACAACTAGGCTTGAACAAAGACATTAATGAACAGTTTTCCACAGCAGTGAAGGAAAGTGCTGCAGCATATTGGGGTCATTTGTTGGAAGCAAGAGAGCAAAGGAGTCTATTTGATTTTGGTGAGAGCCACCGCCCGCCTCTCAGTGTTCTGGAACAAAGCTCGGATTAGGCTCTTCATCTCGGAGCTAGAGAACTCCAGTGCCAGCGGCCCTTTGCCCTCCGCCCACCTTCAGACAGGAAACAAGGACAAATCAACCAATTAGAGGACTCGGTGGTATAGCAATCAAACATCAACGACAACCACAATTCCAAAAGTTTACACATAAGTCATTCAAAATGTGTACACTTTTGGAATTGTGGTTGTCGTCATTTGTTGTTATGAAAATGAATAGCTTTAATGGTGATTTGACAAGCTGAGAAGTTCATTTTTGTACCTGTCGACTATCTCCTGCAGGTTAGCTCGCAGCACGATGACCAGTTCCTTGAAGGTGATCCACTTCTTCACGTACACAGGCACCTCCTCCTGGTACTTCTTGTTCTTGTTCTCCTCAGGCAGTGGAATGAACACCAGGGGTCCTTCCTCAATAATGGTCTGACAGAGGATGTGTAGGTGCTCCCCATCTTCAGTGGAGATATCCTAAAGAGCAAAATAGGATAGAAACCATAGGATGAGGAAGCCCACTCATTCAACCAAGATTAACAATATTTGCCCCCTGTAAAATCATTGCGGAAACACAAGCCACATTATCAAATAAGAGCCTGCCCTCACCTCCAGCGTCATGATTTTGGCAATCAGCTCTGAGATGGCAGTGTTGAGGAGAGTCCCCATGGCTTTACAGTATATGTTGACTGGTAGAACGTCTTGCCAGACGGTGCCCAGCCTTTTCAGCTGATGGATGACCTGCAAATGAAACAATCCATTTTCAGTAATGGAACAGTGACCACATCTTGTAAGAATTGTTAGTGCATTTGATACATGCCAAGCATAGCTAACTTTTTATCTGAATCTTAAAGGGATAGTTCAGCCAAAATTGATATTTGGGTCAAATTCCTCTTACCTTGAGTTGTGTCTGTAGGCCAGTAGTAACAACATCCACAATAATCCTTTGTTTACTTTTGCCACAGCCAGGAGTTAGCATAATTAGCATTGTCCAAAAAATGAATGTCCTCCTGCTATGCTAATCATGCTTACTTAGAAAGTTGACCTAAACATCAATTTTCGCTGAACTATCCCTTTAACTGACGCTTAACTCACCATTTTAGAATGTCTGGCTGATAGTTGCCCTTTGAGACAACTTCTTTTAAAATACTGGAGATCTAATTTCATATTTGTGGCTACAGTCATCATACGGACAATTGTAGATCTCTTTCAGCTATATTGCCTGTATACTTGAACACTGACCTGCCTGACGGCCTTGCTGGCTGTGGAGTAGTTGTCCTCGTCATCCAGGTTGGAGAAGTTGCGTGCGGTGGAGAAACGCTCCAGCATCTCTGCTCTCTGGACGTTCAGCTGGGCCAGGAAGCAATGAGCGCCTGGGGAATACAGCTAGTCAGAGAGCTAGAAGTGTACATTCGCTTTTCATCCACTTCGGCGTTGAGATGTCGCTAGAACATGATTGACTCAAATCTCACTGGTCTCATTATCCTTTTTGGAAATAAAAAACAGCTCAACCTCCACAAAAGCCCTTCAAGTGTGTAGCCATGCTAATGCTGAGCAAGCCATGGGACACACTCCTTCCCTTACCCAGTTTCCTGAATCCGGGCACTAGGTCCACAAAGGTGGCAGCACCCTCGCTGAGGGGGTCAGGCAGGTGTGGCCTGAACTGGTGGCCCAGGGTGAGCAGGTGGTGGGCGATGTACATGCAGTTGTTGTGCTGGATGGCTGCCAGGTGGGGGAACTTGAGCAGGTTCTCTCTGGAGAGCAGAGAGAGAGAAGTCAGTGAAAAGAGAGGAAATGCTCATTCTGAAATTGATTATACATAAACAGCATTCAAAAAAGACGAAAACCTGAATATACTCACTTATGGTATGTAGGCACAACATCATAGAATAGCTGAAATATATTCCGCACTGTGAAGAACAGTTGGGTAGCACTTCGAGGAACAAAAATTAGAGAAGAAAATGTTTTCAATTTTTTGCAACACAAACAACTTTAGTGAAACACTGTGCTAAAGCTGAAGAGTTAATATCAGTTGGTAACGTGGTGCTGCGCAACATGAGAGCGTACCATTGGCTGGAGCTGCCCACAGCCTCGGACAGCGTGTGCAGGGCCAGCTCCATCAGCTGCTGCACCGACTCGCTGATGCGACACACAGGCAGGCACAGCGTCTGCGTACCCAGCTGCTTCTCGTTCTCCAACCTGGACGCCTCAAGCTTATTGGCCCCTTGCTTGCCCTTGTTGTCTCCAGAGCCAGGGCTGGGCAGCTTGGGGATGGAAAGCTTAGAATCTGGGGTGATCTGTTGGCAGGAAATTATGTTAGAAGTACAACCTCTGTGCATTTACCTGCAGTGCAAGATGCAAAGCAGTTCACCTGACCCAGCTGCATTTCTTTTCTTTTCTGGGTATCTGTATGTTCTGATTTAGAACATGCATTCACATGTTGCAGTGGCAAGCAACCACATACTGTACATCAGGAGTCAACTGCATGGCTATTGTCAGTGTACATAATAATTAGAAACCACACAGATAAGACCATGGATAGACTGTAGGAAAACATAACACACTTTGACGGTGTTGTGCATCTCGGAGGTCATCAGCTTGCGTGCCGCCACGATCACGTCTTTGCATTTCTTGCTGGCAAAGTGGCAGTTGACGTCCCGGGCGTACTTGAGCAGCTCGGTGGAGTCTCCTCGGAGGTACTGCATCTCCTTCAGGGACTTCTCAAACTCCTCCGTCTCTTTGATCACCTAGGGGTGAGAACGTACATGGTGGTATTAATGAATGACAGAATGAAAAGTATCCTTGTTCTTTACATAGTCCATATCAAGTCACTAGTTCCAAAAATATAGGTATTTGTATCTCTTTGATAAAAGAGATAAACAACAAACTGTATTGCGTTTAAAACGAATTGTTTGTGCATAGAGTGTATAGGGGTGTATTTGGAGTACTTGGTTAGTCTTTGATACATACTGCACTGTACTGTTGAAGCTGGCAGCTATTGGTTGGGATGGAGTACAGGAGGCACTCATGGATGATGCAATGAGACATCTCCTGCCATACCAGGTCTCCGAGTATCACAGACACTTTTCTCTCACCAACTGATACGTCTGCAAAGCAAAAGAGACATGTCGTTACAGGGCCAATGGTACTGCTCTAAAATGGTGGCTGGCATATCAACTGGTTTCATATTTGCTGTGACTAAAGGATCTCGACCAGGTCCGTGTTGAAAATGTAAACTCTCCATAATCCTTCTAAACAAGATAAAGACTATGGGGCGGTTTCCTGGACACAGATAAGCCTAGTCTTGGACTACAAAGCATGATCAATGGAGAATCTCCATCAAAATAGCTTTTTAGGCTAGGACTAGGCTTAATCTGTGTATGGGAAACCAGCGCTAAATGACCAACAAATAGGACTATTTGCAAGGGTGCCTACCTAGCAGGTGTGTGTGTAGGGTCTTGAGTACCACCAGGACTTTGGTGTAGACCTGGGAGGGGCTGGGGTGCTCCTCGGGGGTCTCGGCACACTGGAGAGAGAGCAGGGTGCCCTCACTTTGCTGTTCCGACACCTCCACGTTCAGAGAGGGGTACGTGATCAGGGGCTTCAGCAGGTACTTCAGCAGCACCTGGCCTAGAGCGGAGAGAGGCTGGCTGTCTCATGATGGACTAACAGGATGCTATGGAAGCAGCCTCACAGTGTATGTTTAGAACAGAAGCAGTCCAGATTATTAAAACTCAATAGTCAGACTAATACAAACAGAAAATGATCTGTATTCAAATAATGGGGGGGGGGGGGGGGTGGTTTCAATTAGTTCAACTTCAATTCAATTCTGTCAGCTTCACAGTAAAAAAAATATTGACTGACTGAGTCTTACTGAAGAGTTTGATCTTGTGTTGGAGTTCCCCCTGGATGGTCAGGGCCTGGAGGACACAGGAGAGCAAAGGCGGAGGGCTCTGCCGGGGCTCCTTGGTCCCGCCCAGGGTCAGCTGGAGCTCCGTCTTCAGGAACGACTTCATCCCCATCGGTTCTGAGAGAGGATGGACGAACACACACAATCAGTGTCTGTGGTGGTCTGAATCAAGTGCAATTTACCACCTTTAAAATCAAAACGTACAACACGTTTTAAATAATATATTCATATCGGAAGATTCCATATTGTAACCTTCGAGTGCAACTGATACACCTCAGGCAACCTACTTAACCTCAATACAAGTGCCCTAGAATGGCTACTTTCTACTTACTAACACTTCATGGTCAAGAAATTGAGGCATGTCATTATGAGGCCAAGCATCAGCCCAGGGTCTTCCCCCCTCTATATGATGCCTGGGAGCCTTTTTACCTTTGGAAGGAGGCAGTTTCCAGACGGCTAGTCTCTTCCACTCGTCCCCCAGATGGTAGATGAGGTTCTCTCTCTGGACAGTGAGCTCTGAGCTGAGGGCTCTCAGCAGGGGCAGCTCAGAGCCTTTCCACGCCTTCAGGGAGTCTGCACTGTGCCGGGCCTTTTCTAACTGTTTGGCCGCAATTACATACTTCTTCTCCAGTAGGGTTTTGTGAAACTCCTCCATTGCAATGTGAAACTAAATCGAACAACAGAAAAATTTATGAGATATGCATTGATTTTGTGCAATATGATAAATAACACCATTCAGTTTAACAGGGCCATGTGTAGATATCAGTGGGGAACAGGTTAGGGCTACAGTGGGGAGTAGCCCATTTTCTAGCTGTATAACATTTAGCCAACTTGCGAGATATTTGCCAAGCCGTAACTGTGCGGCAATGCTTTTCCTTTCCCACGTCAGAGTACCATCCGTAGTCGGTGGACGATATCCTTATCCGAGCCGTCCACGGATATACTCTCCAATGTGGGAAAAGCATCGCCAAACAAATACACTACATGACCAAAAGTATGTGGACACCTGATCGTCCAACATCTAATTCCAAAATGGACTTGGTCCCCCCTTTGCTGCTATAACAGCCTCCACTCTTCTGGGAAGGCTTTCCACTAGATGTTGGAACATTGCTGCAGGGGACTTGCTTCCATTCAGCCAAAAGAGCATTAGTGAGGTCGGGCACTGATGTTGGGCGATTAGGCCTGGCTCGCATTCGGCATTTCAATTCATCCCAAAGGTGTTCGATGGGGTTATGGTCAGGGCTCTGTGCAGGCCAGTCAAGTTCTTCCACACAAATCTCGACAAACCATTTCTGTATGGACCTCGCTTTATGCACGGGGGCATTGTCATGCTGAAACAGCAAAGGGCCTTCCCCAACCGGTTGCCACAAAGCTGGAAGCACAGAATCTTCTAGAATGTCATTGTATGCTGTAGCGTTAAGATTTCACTTCACTGGAAATAAGAGGCCTAGCCCCAGACCATTATTCCTCCACCAAACTTTACAGTTGGTACTATGCATTCGGGCAGGTAGCGTTCTCCTGGCATCCGCCAAACACAGATTCGTCCGCCGGACTGCCAAATGGTGAAGCGTGATTCACACATACACTCCAGAGAACACGTTTCCACTGCTCCAGAGTCCAATGGTGGCGAGCTTTACACCACTCCAGCCGACGCTTGGCATTGCACATGGTAATCTTAGGCTTGTGTGCGGCTGCTCGGCCATTGAAACCCATTACATGAAGCTCCCATTACATGAAGCTTTCCACTTCACAATAACAGCACTTACAGTTGATCGGGGCAGCTCTAGCAGTGCAGACATTTGACGAACTGACTTGTTGGAAAGGTGGCATCCTATGACAGTGCCACGTTGAAAGCCACTGAGCTCTTCAGTAACACCAATGGTTGTCTATGGAGATTGCATGGCTGTGTGCTCCGGGTGTGGCTGAAATATCCGAATACACAAATTTGAAGGGGTGTCCACATACTTTTGAATATATAGTGTATCTCGCATGCCTCTCCAATGGTATGCCCTTAGACGGAATTTAACTTAAAATAACTGTCCATGACTGTGAGCCTGTAGGGCTACAGTGGGGAGCTACTTAGGATACCTCTTCTAGGTGCCTGAGCATGGCAATGACAGTAGTGTTTCTCTCCAGCTGCTGCTTCAGCTTTGCATATTCCGTCACGGCTGTATGTAGATTCTGCTGCACCTGTAAACACACATACACTTATTTTTAATAGTATGTCTCTGCCAACTGTGTCAGTTCGGTAACACCTCCCAAAAACACAAGGAGATGCCAATGACCCATGAACAGTTAGTGACGCTTACCTCTGTCTCGATGCAGCTTTTGAGGACATCAATTTCTTTAGAGACCTCTTCAGCTTGTCCCATGAGTACCTCTGCCCCCTGCATGCTGGGTAGGAACTCATTGTATCTCTTGTTGATCATGTCACATACCTCTTCCTATGGGGAGATACAGAGAAACAAATATAGTATGATTGAGGGAAAGAATCAAAGTGTAAGGCAATGATGAGAAGAGTCTGAAAGCTATACCACATTGCATAAATACCCCTGGTAAAAAAGCAAGATATATTATTTTTCAATATGGGCAGAGTAGGTAGGCACAACCATGACACGTCATTCAACACTGAACAGCTGTTTCTGGGTAGAATGGCCACAAGTAATCAAAACAGTGTGTGTGCGAGAGTAACCTAACTACCAAGCTTGGTAATGTTACCTTCTTACTAAGCCAACTCTTTCAGAACACGTTGCTAGATAACCTTGTCAAGAGGCTAGGTAGCTACAGCTACTTAGGCATGATCCTTATTCTGTAGTCAGCTAACTTGCTGCCACAGACAAGGCTGTGGCATTGGCACCAAGCTAACGTTAGATAGCAAGCAATTGGCTAACAGCAACTCCTTGTGGCTATATAGCGAACGTTAGTTTTATAGCTAATATTTATACTGAACAAAAATATAAACGCAACAATTTCAACGATTTGACTGAGTTACAGTTCATATAAGGAAATCAGTCAATTTAAATAAATTCATTAGGCCCTAATCTATGGATTTTACATGACTGGGCAGGGGCGCAGCCATGGGTGGGCCATGGAGGGTATAGGCCCACCCACTGGGGAGCCAGGCCCAGCCAATCAGAATTCGTTTTTCCCCAAAAAAGGGCTTTATTACGGCCTCCCGAGTGGCACAGCATCGCAGTGCTTGAGGTTGTCACTACAGCCCCGGGTTCGATCCTAGGCTGTGTTACAGCCGGCCGTGACCGGGAGACCCATGAGGCGGCGCACAATTGGCCCAGTGTCGTCTGGGTTAGGGGAGGGTTTGGCCGGCCTGGATTTCCTTGTCCCTTCGTGCTCTAGCGACTCCATGCGGCAGGCCGGGCGCCTGCAAGCTGACTTCGGTCGCCAGCTGGACGGTGTTTCCTCCGACACATTGGTGCGGCTGGCTTCCGGGTTAAGGGAGCAGTGTGTCAAGAAGCAGTGCGGCTTGGCAGGGTCATGTTTCGGAGGATGCATGGCTCTTGATCTTCGTCTCTCCCGAGTCCGTAGGGGAGGAGTTGCAGCGATGGGACAAGACTAACTACCAACTGGATATCATGAAATTGGGGGAGAAAAGGGGGTAAAAACAAAAAGGGGGGGCTTTATTTCAGAATGAAATACTCCTCAGTTTCATCAGCTGTCCGGGTGGCTGGTCTCAGACGATCCCGCAGGTGGAGGTCCTGGGCTGGCGTGGTCTGCGGTTGTGAGGCCGGTTGGACGTATTGCCAAATTCTCTAAAACGACATTGGAGGCAGCTTATGGTAGAAAAATTAACATTAAATTCACTGACATCAGCTCTGGTGGATATTCCTGCAGTCAGCATGCCAATTGCACGATCCCTCCAAAATCGAGACATCTGTGGCATTGTGTTGTGTGACAAAATTGCACATTTTAGAGTGGTCTTTTACTGTCCCCAGCACAAGGTGCACCTGTGTAATGAACATGCTGTTTAATCATCTTCTTGATATGCCACGACTGTCAGGTGGATGGATTATCTTGGCAAAGGAGAAATTCTCACTAACAGGGATGTAAACAAATGTGTGCACTAAATTGGATAAATAAGCTTTTTGTGCGTACATTTCGGGGATTTTATTTCAGCTCATGAAACCAACACTTTACATGTTGCGTTTATATTTTTGTTCAGTATAGCTAGCTAGCTAATTTAGCTAGTCGTGTCATAATCGGGGTAATGTTCACTAGCTAATTTAGCTAGTTAGTCCAGTCATACTCGGGGTAATATTCTCTAGATTGTTCGATTAGGCTAGCCAGCCTAGCAAAACGGTTTCGAACGATAAAACCAAAGATTTTGTTCGCTTTGTGATAAGAGTTAGCCAACTATGTTATTTCGCGGGCTAGCTAGCTTACGTTAGTTATTTAGCTAACGTTAGCTGGCTAGTTAGTTAACGTGAGCTATCTAAACTCGCTTGTTTACCTTAGTTTCCTCTACTTTCCGTGACAGCGTGCTAATTTTAGCAGCAAGGTCTTCTTTTTCAAGTTTACCAGAACTAGCAAGGACTTCTGTCACGAAAGACGCCATGTTTGGATTTGGAGAACATCTTACTGGTTAGCTAGCAGCACCAAAATCCTTCAGGCACTGTGCAGGCTGAAGAAGCCCACTCACATAAACCAATCAAAAGCAATGTTCCAATTCGTCATCACTCTGGCCACGCCCAGGCCAGACTTGTGATTTAAAAGACTTGAGTGGAGATGCATTATGAGTAGAAGAAATACTGAACAAAACAGAAGAAGCAATAAAAAATAAGCAATAGTGAAAGGACTAATTAATATCTAGCTCTCGAAAACTCTAGGCGGCAGTCTGTCTTCTCCCTACAGTTTCCCTACAGCCTCTCAACTGTGTATGTCTGGGAGTGTTGGGGAAAAGGCAGAACACGACTTTACCTTCGAACCAAATGGACAATAAATGATCTATTCTCTTCTATTCTATTAATAAATCAGCAACTACAGTATATATTTGGAGTAGAGTTGTAGTCTGTCAAGGAGAGGACAATTTATGTGATAAAAGCAGTGTTTGGCGTATTTCACAACCTTTTCTTGGATATACTGAGGAGGAACCTATAATAACCTATAAATAATTATACCCTTTATGTGAAAGGACAAATGTCACACTTGTCGGAAAAAAAAATCAACGTTTAATATGTCAAAAGGCAATCATATTAGAAAACTCTGGGGAGGACACTTTACAAGGCACTGTATAGGACTGATATGTGTAATAAATTTGCATCAGGGACATGGTTAATATAACAGAAACAGCTGAACAACACTGACATCATCCATATGTATCAAATTTTGAATCATAATGGCCTTATCACTACATCATCATGAATTAACAACCTTTCAAAACAACAAAAATCCTGACAATAATGACTGGCTCTATATTTCTATGATTTGGGAGGTAGCCGTTAACAAATGTATCCATAATGAACTACAACTACCCATTATAGACTAGAAACACAGATTAATAAACAGTATTGTAATCTAACAAAGCATGGAGTCATGGCTGCATACTCATTACTACACTAAATTATTTGTAAATCACCCACATGAATGCTGTCCCTGTCAACACAGTTCACATTCTAGTTGAGGGTGTAGATTAGCATGCTAATGTGTAAGTCTTACTCTTTTGAAGAATGTTTGTCCACAATATTAGAGACAACAGGAAAGTTCGTCTCAGGGAGGGAACCAAGGGCATTCACAAGAAGTCTTGGCCTTGAAATTCTATTAATACAAGGGCTGTTTGCTCAGTGTGAATAGTACAGTTTTATGATCTAAAAGAGGACCTCTTCTTCTTTTTCATTACTCTTGTCTTTAGCACTAAGGGTGGGGGTTTGTACTGTGAAGGTTTTGTCAAATGCACCACGGTCCACCCGGTAAGACCCCTTTTCCAGAGACATGCAGGATTCAAATCGGTGGCCCCACAGAATCTCGGCCTCAGTGTAGGAGGTTCTGGCTTGGCATGTCATACCTACAACACAGTAGAGACAACACTTTTTTCACATTTTGCACAGCAAGGCAATTATTAAACGTTTAATCTTTACACATCTAGCTCTTATGCTACAGTCACAGACATGAAAGCATTAACATGTTTTCAAATGATTTTAGACATAATTTTTGAGGTCACATTCTAACATTCAAAGCCAACCAACCTGATGCCTCCACAATTCCCTCCAGAATGATTATGATCTCAAATCTCTCCCTTGTCAGACGCTCAGCCCCTATTTCCCAGAAGGGACTGCTCTCATTGATGACATGGGTGATGGTCTGAGGCTCGACCAACAGGAGCCTGTCTCCTCCGGTATCGTAGCCCAGGTTGATCTCCGACTGCTCCAGCGGTATGAACTCCCCTTCCTTGGTCTGTCTGGACTTGATCAGCTTGGCTCGGATCTTGGCGTCCACCATGTGACTCGCCCTTAGGTCTCCGATGCGGAAGAGGAGGCAGAGTTTCTCGTCGCGCTCCGATATGACACAGTGCTTGCTGAAGATCAGAGTCTGGGCCCTTTTCTGAGGCCGGGAGATCTTGACGAACATGCAGCCGACCATGAGGGCGTCGATGATGGAGCCAACGATAGACTGGGCCATGAGGAGAACCACTCCCTCCATGCAGTTGGCCGTCACCAATCTGGAGCCATAGCCAATCGTCCTCTGGCTCTCCACCGACAGAAGCAGGGCGGAGATGAAACTGTCCACGTTCTCGAAGCACGGCTGCCATTGAGGGTCGTGGACGTGGGCCACGTCATCCCGCAGCCAGGCGTCTAGGAAGTAGATCTCGGCAAAGGCCACCCACGTGACAATGTAGCACATGGTGAAGATAAAGAGGAACCAACGGTACTTCAAGTCCACCAGAGTGGTGAAGATGTCCAAGAGGAAACGGCTCTTGTCCTCGATAGGGCCCAGGTTGACCCGACACTTCCCGTCTTTGGTGACGTAGCGCTGACGCTGCTTGTTGTCTGTGCCGTAATTTGGCCTCTCGTCACCTAGAAGTTTGCAGCGTGGCTTGTGGGGCTTGTTCTCACCACTTGTGCCATGGGCGGGGCTACGGGTGCTACCAAAGGGGCCACCAAAGGGAGCGCCTGAGTACCACCTGGAGCTGAAACGCTTAAGGTGGCGTCCGCGGTGAGAAGTGGCCGGCTCCTCTGGCTCCTCAGTGGGGATGATGTACTGGCAGGTGTCTACCTCCTGGTTGATCAAGCCTGCAACAATCTGATGGGGGCCTGGGCTCTGGGACTGTGGCTGGGGGGATGCAGAGGGGGCTGGCTGGGGTGAGAGAATTGGGAAGTTGTTGTTATTTGAGCTGGGGATGAGAGAGTCTCTTCTGGAGTGGAGCATTGTCAAGGCCATGTTGGTTTTTGCTGCAACCTGAAAAAAATATGTTTGAACAATCAATTGACTGACTTGTACATTACATACATGATCAACAATGTATTTGTGCTGAAAACAGTGTCCAGTGTAAACACAACCCACTGAACAATATACCAAAACACAAAATAACGAAATTGACTCTCTGCAATAGGTACCCTCTTTGGATATGGGGTGAAACGTGTTGACTCTGGGGGTGGTCTAGGGAGGTATGCCAGGAGGTGTTTGGCTGTGAGAGTCTGTGCTGGTGGAATTGAGTTCCTACGGGGGCAAATTCTCGTAGGACTCCTGTAGTCGCCGTTATGGGGCTCGTGTAATGTCACCCTGCTGCACATCATGGTGAAAACCATCAGCGAGACTACTGTAGATTCCTGTGCTCTGTGTGGCAGCTGAGCTGCAGAGGGCCCAGAAAGTTGATTTCTTGTTCCTGTTGAAACAATAGAATTTGATTGAGAGTTGTCACGCAATTAAAACCACCACTACAGAGGAAAGAGGAGACTAAATGAAACTCTTCCACCAAGTAATAATAATGGTGGAACTTAACTCCTTATGTCCTTATTATGTACAGTCATATTTCATAGTTCAGGGATTGCTAGAAGGCTAAATCCAGCTGTGGGTCAGTGGGTGTACGCCAGATCTCTGATACGGTGAGGGTGGTCTTTCACCAGATGGTTCCCTCTCCTCAGTATAAATTCTTACATCATTCCTCCCCGGCCCCCAACAACTTTCAGATCATACCAATCTGACGTACGTTGTGCGATGTCATCGGTCTCTGCTGGATATAATTAAACTATCGGGATTACGATTGATCCTCTAAATTAATCTGGTAACAACCAAGGAGCATGGTGATGGATTTGAGGAGATTACGGTTTTACTCTTACTTACGAGGGCATAGATAATTGTTTTGCCCAGATGTGGTCAAATAAACCCTGGGCAAATCTCTATTATTTCTTGTTGTCAATGTTTCTGTTCGTGTTGTCACTCTCTCCCCTACTGGACCGCCACACAGCTCGTAGCGGCAGACGTGCTGCGCTGCGTGCAGGATTTCAGGACCACGTCAATATCGACTCAGACTCCAGAGTGCAGCAGACCATGAACTGCCCAAGGCATCGTAATCAACAGTACTAATTGTACTCCAAATTTTTTGCTGTAGAGGAAAAACTAGAGATATCTCATTAACCGTTATCTGTAGAATAGTTGCGATGCTTCATTTATGATGTGCAGCTAATGTTGAACAACATCTTCTTTGTAAATGTGTTGATTTTACACGGATGGGCTTCACCAACTCTGAGATGAGTAGCCCATTGCTAAAAGTTACGTAATACTGTATTAAAAAATCACTCTTTGCTTTTTTTCAGTTGCAACCTTAAAACAACATCCTTATAACCAGACCAACACCAGAAGAAATGTGCTAGGACAACCAGGGAAACTATACAAACACAAACAGAGAGGGAAAGTAGGGGATGGAGGTATGTCTGTACATTAAGGAGAGTCATCGTAACGAACTGCCAAAAGAAAGAAACAACAAACTAAACCATACCTGAATAGAGATGCCAGTAGTTGTTCTCAGTTTGGGATCATCTTCCACTGGAGACAAATGAATAAAAGTGGGATGGCTGTTTGAGTGGCAAAGCTGGTGCTGTGGTTTCTCTTCCAGTGATGTCAAGGCGAACTGGCAGGATTCCTGCTGTCCAGCTGCGGACCAGAGGGGGCCGTCCCTCACTCCCCCCCTCACCTCCCTTGCTCACACAGAGAGGTCAGTTGTTAATCTGCTCGTGGGGTCAGCAGGGCTGGCGAGCTGTGCAGGAAGTAGTGCGGCACCATGGGAAGTGACAAATAAACAACAAACACATTGCACAGTACAGAAGTGTTAAATTGGTCGTTGGACAATCAATAGTGTTTTCTGTGTGTGTGTGTGTGTGTGTGTGTGTGTGTGTGTGTGTATGACATGGGTGAAAGACAGAAATATAGATTGAAAAAAGGTTTGCATTATTTATCAGAAATGTAGATTGAAAAAAGGATTGCATAATATATCAGAAATATAGATTGAAAACAGGGGACAGACACAAAAGAAGACTTGAGAGCAAAGCAAGGAGAAAAGAACAACAGAAAGAACAGAAAGTTTGAAAGTTTATTGAGCATCAATACAGGTTTCAAGAAGTGGAAATCAGAGGAGTGGAAGGAAAGGCTTACATATAAACAAGAGAATACAAAACAAGACAGGTTTTGTCAAAGGAAACTGAATTTCTGTGTTCACGGCAATCCTAATTCGTCATGGTAAATGTAAAATATCTAAGAAACTATAAAAATACTATTTCTTGTGTTTTCACTTTCTTAAAAACACACCTGCATAGGTTCAAAGCACTAATACCTTAAAAATGCATAATAAAGAAATCTCTCCATCTCTCCTTGATGTCTCTGTGAGTATCATATGAGCGTATAAGCTCTGCCTCAAGTCACTCAGATTCTACTCAATGTTCCGGCTTAGAAAAATATGGTAAAAGCACATTAAAAAGTAATATAAAAAACTGCTTTGCAATACTAGGCACAAATCCAGTGTTTGTCAACTCTACATAAGGATAAAAACGCTAGCGGCCGTCGGCTGGCATACGGGCCCTGACACTTATTCTCAGCAGCTGACCTCTGACCCCTTGGCCTTACTTGACGGCGACCACAGAGGTGTTGGTGATGGACTCCATAATGGCAGCCAGGCGGCTGCACAGGTCGTGGGGCACTTTGGAGCGCACCGTTGGTGGATCTTTTAGAACCACCATCTCTGTTGAGCAGTCCAGAACCCTGGGCAGAAACTCACCCAGCTTCTCCTGAAGGGAGTCTGAGAAGGAGTGGAAGAGAAAGACTTAGAGCTTCCATGAGAGGAGTAAAATACAATTAAGATTGCCAGGTGAGCAAGAGATGTATGAGAAATTAGATGAGAAAGAGAGAGGAAAATGTGCTACAGAGACACGCTATTATAAGCCTTATAATAAGACATTATACATGCTAACACATGCTTTCAACACACAATAAAGCATTACACTGTACCTGAAACACGTAAATGACAGCATTATGGATGTACTGGAGATATAGACTACATGTCCAAAAGTATGTGGACACTTGCTCGTCGAACATCTCATTCCAAAATCATGGGTATTAATAAGGAGTTGGTCCCCCCTTTGCTGCTATAACAGCCTCCACTCTTCTGGGAAGGCTTTCCACTAGATGTTGGAACATTTCTGCAGGAAATTGCTTCCATTCAGCCACAAGAGCATTAGTGAGGTCGGGCACTGATGTTGGTCGATTAAGCCAGGCTCGCAGTCGGTGTTCCAATTCATCCCAAAGGTGTTCGATGGGTCGAGGTCAGGGCTCTGTGCAGGCCAGTCAAGTTCTTCCACACCGATCTCGACAAACCATTTCTGTATGGACCTAGCTTTATTCACGGGGGCACTGTCATGCTGAAACAGGAAAGCGCCTTCCCCAAACCCAGATTCAACTGCCAGATAGTGAAGCGTGATTCATCACTCCAGAGAACGTGTTTCCACTGCTCCAGAGTCCAATGGCGGCGAGCTTTACACCACTCCAGCCGACGCTTGGTATTGTGCATGGTGATCTTAGGCTTGTGTGCAGCTGCTCGGCCATGGAAACCCATTTCACGACGCTCACGACGAACAGTTCTTGTGCTGACGTTGCTTCCAGAGGCAGTTTGGAACTCGGTAGTGAGTGTTGTAACCGAGGACAGACGATTTTTACGGGCTACGCGCTTCAGCATTCGGCGATCCCGTTCTGTGAGCTTGTGTGGCCTACCACTTCGCGGCTGAGCCGTTGTTGCTCCTAGACGTTTCCACATCAAAATAACAGCACTTACAGTTGACCGGGGCAGCTCTAGCAGGGCAGATATTTGACGAACTGACTTGTTGGAAAGTAGGCATCCTATGACGGTGCCATGATGAAAGTCATTGAGCTCTTCAGTAAGGCCATTCTACTGCCAATTTTTGTCTATGGAGATTGCATGGCGGTGTGCTCGACTTTATACACCTATCAGCAACGGGTGTGGCTGAAATAGCCAAATCCACTAATTTGAAGGGATGTCCACATACTTTTGTATATATAGTGTACATTTAGCACAGCTTGGATAAAGCTCAGTAAAAACCTCTTCCCGGCCATCTGTCCTCACCATCTAGGTCTACTCCCAGGTAGGAGCACCAGTGGCTGCGGACAGCCTCCATGGTGTCCAGGTCCTCCTGGCTGACCATGTCCGGCCGGCTCATCAGGTGCATGCAGGGGATGACCGCCTCGTTCATGATGATCACGCCCTCCTCCACGTCGCTCACCTCGCCACTCCTGAACAGCGTGGCCGCGTTGTCATTCACCTCCTAGGAAGTGGGAAGAAGGGGGAGAACAGGGGATATGCAGATGCAGTGTCACTATGGAGTCTCTTTGGATAGTTAGTGTGTCTACTGTGTTCCGGTTAAGACCCTGGGGCATTCATGTACAAATTAACCCCATAACAAACACAAAAGAAGTGGCTGCAACAAGGTCTTTTCTAGTTTGAAATGAAAAACAAGACTTGTTCCTAAAGAAAAAGCCCAGTTTAAGCACAAGATGTTTAGTGAATTGTTGAATGTGGGGCTTAAAAGACAAGAGCTTCATCAAGGTGAAGTCCCAAGTACTTGTATGATGACACCACCTCTATTGGCTTGTTTTGCAAAGTGACTATCTGAGGGAGAGAAGGGGGTTGCTTTCTTGATCTTGAGAATAATAATAGTTTTGTTTTCTCTTCATTTAAGATCAATTTAAGCTGAAAGAGGTTATGTTGGAAAACAAACACTCCCTGCAATTTGAGAAATGCCTAATCTAGTGAGGAAGCAGTGCTATAGCTGATGGTATCATCTCCATACAGATGTAGGATCTTAATTTGAGCCAGTTTGCTACAGAAGGAAAATAACCCTGCAGAACAGGAAATGTGAATTATTAGAGTCTTGAGATAAGTAGTTTATACACGGATAAAGAGTTTCTATACTATATACAGTGGGGAAAAAAAGTATTTAGTCAGCCACCAATTGTGCAAGTTCTCCCACTTAAAAAGATGAGAGAGGCCTGTAATTTTCATCATAGGTACACGTCAACTATGACAGACAAACTGAGAATTTCTTTCCAGAAAATCACATTGTAGGGTTTTTAATGAATTTATTTGCACATTTTGGTGGAAAATAAGTATTTGGTCAATAACAAAAGTTTCTCAATACTTTGTTATATACCCTTTGGTGGCAATGACACAGGTCAAACGTTTTCTGTAAGTCTTCACAAGGTTTTCACACACTGTTGCTGGTATTTTGGCCCATTCCTCCATGCAGATCTCCTCTAGAGCAGTGATGTTTTGGGGCTGTCGCTGGGCAACACGGACTTTCAACTCCCTCCAAAGATTTTCTATGGGGTTGAGATCTGGAGACTGGCTAGGCCACTCCAGGACCTTGAAATGCTTCTTACGAAGCCACTCCTTCGTTAGCCGGGCGGTGTGTTTGGGATCATTGTCATGCTGAAAGACCCAGCCACGTTTCATCTTCAATGCCCTTGCT